CTCAAGTAGTAAAAAATTTATGACGTTTTAAAAAATTGGTTTTTAACTTTTTTTCCAACACCCAAAAAATTGCCATGTTTGAGAGTTTATATCTGTAAAAGTATATGTCACAAACACAATCTTTTGAACTCAACACAAACACACATACAGAGAGAACAGACTCAATTTTTTAAACCCTCTTAAATAAGTACATCATTTAAATTAATTGCATAAAAATTGGCTTTTTCTCACTTTTTATAAAATTCAAAGGGGAAGTAAAAATAAACCGGGAGTGATCTCCCCTAAACTTTCTTGAATATTCTTATATAAAACAACAGGGGATGGGAACTCGGGCTATATACATGATTTTTAATCCATTTTAAATACTTAAAGTTTTAAAAATAGAATAAAATCTTGTAGACAAAAGAACTGCACACTCACCAAGTGAACGCCAAATAAAAAAGTGCATAATAGTGCGCAATATTATTAGTACTTTAAAAATGTACATTAGTTTTTTGAGAAATCGGAAGTAGCGTAAATTACTACTTCCGGTCAACGGAAATTACTCAAAATTTAACAGAAGGTAGACAATTAGATCTTTTACTCACATGTGAAATTTCATTTATCTATCTGAAATAGTACTCAAGTTATAGGCTTTTGAAAAATTCAAAGTAGAAAAAGCACCACTTCCGGTAATCGGAAATCTCTCAAAAGTTGATACGGATCTACGATTTTGGTAAAATACTTTTATATGAAATTTCATCAACCTAGCTGTAACGGTACTCAAGTAATCGTGTTTACACACACACACACAGACACACAGACATACGGACAGAATTGCAAAGCCCAGTTTTTCAGAATGGATTACGCATAAAACCTCTTAATTTTGGTAAATCTGGATTGATAATTTTTGCCCGATTAAAATAAGTCCACTATACTTCGGATGTGATGAAGGACTGGGGTGTAATACGGTGAAAATGGTTAAAATTTCAAGAGATTTTTTTGCACGATTACAATACTTTCTCTATACTTCGTATATACGAGAAAGTAAAAACACAAACGTTTTGTACATTTAATGACAAAAAAAAATGACCAAAAAATATCTGATGAAAAAACATACTTGATAAGTAGGATATCAAAATGTAGGGGAACAACACTTCTTTGAATTTAAGTTACATGTATGCCTATAACAAGTACGTTTAAAACATACGTTTGATCAGAAGAGTGCAGGGGTTCACAATCGGTCAAAAATGCGTCTTTAAAAAAATAATAATTATGACACCTACAGACGATCTGAGTATATAGAAATAAAGAATAACCATAGCTCGTAACAGGTAAACATTCTTTGTGTCTGTGATTAATTAATATGCGATCCAATGGTGGCTGGAACAGTGTTAGGGTCACATTAAGGAATTTTTGTTGAAATAATTATTAGTCTCTAGAACCAGTAGTACATTTAAAAGAAAGAACATTTATTTAGGATGCTTCAGTCGATGCGTCTTTTTTACTTTCTCATATATACGGAGTATAGAGAAAGTCTTGTAATCGCGAAAAAAAAATCGAGATTTTTACAAATCTCGACGTTTTACACCTCACTGATACGGAAAAACATAATTTTGCAATCTTGTCCGTATGTCTGTGTGTGTGTGTGTGTCTGTCTGTCTGTCTGTGTAAACACGATTACTTGAGTACCGTTACAGCTAGGTTGATGAAATTTCATATATAAGTATTTTACTAAAATCGTAGATCCGTATCAACTTTTGAGAGATTTCCGATAACCGGAAGTGGTGCTTTTTCTACTTTGAATTTTTCAAAAGCCTATAACTTGAGTACTATTTCAGATAGATAAATGAAATTTCACATGTAAGTAAAAGATCTAATTCTCTGCCTTCTGTCAAATTTGGAGTAATTACCGTTGACCGGAAGTACTAATTTACGCTAAGTTTAAGTAATTAAAAATCATGTCTATATTTCAAGTTATATTAGAATATTCGAGAAAGCTTAGGGGAGATCACTCCCGGTTTAATTTAATTATAATATTTTTATGAGTTATGAAAAGAAAACGCTATGATTATTATGGAACTGGCGAGCCGCATCCTGACATCAAAAGAGCCGCAGGTTCTGCGACAGGATTTTGAGCGACTTTATTGATTGCTCTAGTGTGTTTTGTCGAGCTCGGCCGGTTTTGACCATGCTCAGAAATGAAACAATTTTAGTGTTTTAACAGAAAAAAGGACCACCTTATTGAAAATACTAATAAAAGATTTATACGATGTCAGAATCACATACTAATTTTCGAATTACTTAGTTTTTTTAACATTTAAAATATTTAATTATTATGCATTTTTGTTTAGCATCCCACTAAAGGCTATTCAATTCTGCACATTTTGCAGTTATTTGTAAAGAAATAAGTTCAACGGTCAAATAAAATAAAATAAAAAAACTTTAAAAAACCACGTTTTTCTGGTGGACTAAAAAGTAGAAAATAAATTTTTCTTCCGACCCTAGGGGATCTACCAATGAAAAAAAAACGTGGGTACGTTCACCATCAAATTTCCCGACCCATCTGCCCGACCCACGTTTTTGTCATCAAATGTATGAACAAAATCTACGAGCAGTCATTGGTAGATCCCCTAGGGTCGGAAGAAAAAATTATTTTCTACTTTTTAGTCCACCAGAAAAACGTGGTTTTTTAAAGTTTTTTTAAAGTATTTTATTTTCTCCTTTTTAGTCCGTTGCTACACATGAAAAACGTGGTTTTTAAAACGTTTTTTATATAGTTTATTTTCTACTTTATCTAATGACTTGATTAAGTATGACTTGACTAAGTGTTTTTAAATAAACGGACTAAAAATCTTGAGCGACCGATACGCTTTAAACAGAGAAGGGGCGTAATTTAATTAAGCCTACATGCCGTGACCAGGATTCGAACCTGGGTTGTCGCGGCCACAACGCGAAGTACTAACCACTATACGATCACGGCCAGCGCGCTCACATCAATTGGGGCCGAAGTAACTGTGTCAATAGGCCTCCAGTCTTGTCGGTATCTTTAGAAATCATGTCCTCAATTTTATGGTCCTTGGGGCGTAATTTAATTAAGCTAATTTAGGTCTCTAATTGTTAGTTTTTATGATTGCATCTGAAATTGTTAGGCGAAAATAGCCTGCATGCCAAATTTCAGATCTCTAGAGCAATCAGAAGTGGGCTAATTTTCGATGTCAATTTTAACAACAAACATCCAAACAAACAAATAAACACGAAGCTGAGTTAAGAAAAACGTGTTAAAATAAAAAAAGGCCCGCGAGTTGAATGAGAGAGGGGTCAAAATCCGTTACTCGACTGCCGTTGAAAAATCATCTCGGTGATAGTTTTCAATTGGCAAATGAGATATATTGTTCAACAACTACAAACATTACGCAGAAATAGAGGGCTTTAAATTTACTTTTTAATGGTACCAAGATAATTACTATACGAGCCCTTTTCATTCTAGAAACTATGAAGTGAAAAAGCTACTACATTTGGGCGACGCGGGCGAAATCGACCTTTTTAACGTCCGTTTGACATACCTAGTATCAGGACTTAGTCGCTAATTGATTACACCAATAATTTATCCCTAGCAGGACGCTACTGAAAGAGAAAACTTACCATCTGACATGTTTGAGACACAAGTCGACATCGAGATGAAAACTTTCCGGCTGCTCAACTACACACTTAACTGGGTCAAAGGCCAGCGGAGAGAGCCGTCATGCTTGGATGTGCATGACTGGTTGGATACACACTTGATCGCCTACACACCCCAACGAAAACTCTAGCAGACGTCTGCTGCGATGACTTGAGAGACCGCTTGTGTAGCCAAATGAGAGGTGTTGGACTCAGTGTATGCTCGATTAGTGGCCATAATATACATACATAAGACATACATGTAATGTTTATAAAGGAAAGTAATTATATATATATATATATATATATATATATATAATATATATATATATATATATATATATATATATATATATATATATATAATATATATATATATATATATATATATATATATATATATATATATATATATATATATATATATATATATATATATATATATATATTACATTATTAATGCTATACCCCGTACTTATGTAAAAATGTTACAGACTTACAGATATTTTTTGATGTAACCAAACTCAGTGGCATCACAAGGCGGGAGCTGCTGTCCGCAACTGATGCTAACTCGTGACACCTTGACAAAACCTTGCTAAACTTACTGTCATAACTCTTTTGTATCCAGCTAAAATAATACAAGATTAGTGAGAGAGGGATAACACCCCGGTAAACGGAAAAAAAGTCACAGGAAAAAAAAACACAGAAAAAAGTCACAGTTTTTGCTAGGAAAAAAAAGTCACAGAAAAAAAGTCACAATGGAAAAAATTTTGTCGGAAAAAAAGTCACAGAAATAAAGTCACAGAAAAAAAGTCACAAAAATCTTTTCAGAAATATTTTGATTTATTTTTTGAAAATTGTAAAATTGTGTATGTTTATTTTTCTGGTTTGTATTTTTGTAGCATATATTATAATTATAGACGTTAAAATCATTATGGTTTATAACAATTGTAAGTAAAAAGCACAGTAAGATCATTTACACAACAATCTCAACTTTTGTTACGTATTTTGTTAAATTCGCGGTAGAAAAGTTAATTATAAAAGAAATTTTGGCACATCATTGTGTTTTGCATATGTTTTGCCATAGGCTATTCTCTGGTCGGCCTCTCCTCAGTCGGCCTTGTCCGAACATATTGTGTGTTGTTGAAGTTTCGTGTCAATGACAGCCTTTGAAACTTGTCGGCTTTCTGTTTTGATCCTACGCTTTGTTATGTAATGAGCGTGATAAATGTGGGCAGTAAAGGTGGTCGATCTATTGTTGCGATGAGTGGAGGGCAGCAAGTCAGATGAACTTACAATTCCACGGCAATTTAATGTTAGTATTTAAAAAAACACGATGAAAACGGAGGACGTTGGAACATTCTATTAAATGCTATTAATATTATGTTTAACATAATTACAATCTACATACTTCATACTAAATATGTTTAGATGAATTATAAAAATTAACATGCGTATACAACCTACACACATTACATTACATTTAATTAATCCATAGCTAATTTGCAATCTCTGAATATATAATTCATAAAAGTACTTTAAAAGTATTAACAAATTCCATGCAAATATATATTTGTGACTTTTTTCCTGTGACTTTTTTCCTGTGACTTTTTTCCTGTAACTTTTTTTCTGTGGTTTTTTTTTTCCTGTGTTTTTTTTTTTCCTGTGACTTTTTTTTTCCTACAATCAACACCCCACCGACAATGTAAAATAGTTGGGGACGATGAGGATGACACCTTAGGAAACGCGTAGGGTAACACTCGTCCTTGTGACGCCACCAACCAAACACAATTTTTAAAAAAATGCCCAAGATTTTTTTAGATCTGGGTTTTTTCATGCTTTTAAATTTGAAAAATGAATAATAAGTTCATTGAGATATATTTTAGCTGCTTCAGTATGTTCGATACTTAGGATGGCCAAGTTACTGACACAATTTTCATATCTTCAACTTGTTTATATGCTAGTACGAGCCCTTTTCATTATAGAAACTATGAAGTGAAAAAGCTACTACATTTTTTTACTACATATTATTCATATGCTAGTTTATATCTGTTTGTATCTGTGCTAGTTTATATCTGTGCTAGTTTATATCTGTGCTAGTTTGTATCTGTGCTAGTTTATATCTTTTTGTATGTGTGCTAGTTTGTATCTGTTTGTATCTGTGCTAGTTTATATCTGTGCTAGTTTATATATGTTTATATCTGTGCTAGTTTATATTTGTGCTAGTTTATATCTGTGCTAGTTTATATCTGTGCTAGTTTATATCTGTTTGTATCTGTGCTAGTTTATATCTGTTTGTATCTGTGCTAGTTTATATCTGTGCTAGTTTATATCTGTTTGTATCTGTGCTAGTTTATATCCGTGCTAGTTTATATCTGTTTGTATCTGTGCTAGTTTATATCTGTGCTAGTTTATATCTGTTTATATCTGTGCTAGTTTATATCTGTGCTAGTTTATATCTGTGCTAGTTTGTATCTGTTTGAATCTGTGCTAGTTTATATCTGTTTGTATCTGTGCTAGTTTATATCTGTACTAGTTTATATCTGTTTGTATCTGTGCTAGTTTATATCTGTGCTAGTTTATATCTGTTTGTATCTGTGCTAGTTTATATCTGTGCTAGTTTATATCTGTTTATATCTGTGCTAGTTTATATGTGCTAGTTTATATCTGTGCTAGTTTATATCTGTGCTAGTTATTATCTGTGCTAGTTTATATCTGTTTATATCTGTGCTAGTTTATATCTGTGCTAGTTTATATCTGTGCTAGTTTATATCTGTGCTAGTTTATATCTGTGCTAGTTTATATCTGTGCTAGTTTATATCTGTATCTGTGCTAGTTTATATCTGTTTGTATCTGTGCTAGTTTATATCTGTGCTAGTTTATATCTGTTTATATGTGTGCTAGTTTATATATGTTTATATCTGTGCTAGTTTATATCTGTTTGTATCTGTGCTAGTTTATATCTGTATCTGTGCTAGTTTATATCTGTTTGTATCTGTGCTAGTTTATATCTGTGCTAGTTTATATCTGTGCTAGTTTATATCTGTGCTAGTTTATATCTGTGCTAGTTTATATCTGTGCTATTTTATATCTGTGCTAGTTTATATCTGTGCTAGTTTATATCTGTGCTAGTTTATATCTGTTTGTATCTGTGCTAGTTTATATCTGTGCTAGTTTATATCTGTTTATATCTGTGCTAGTTTATATCTGTTTGTATCTGTGCTAGTTTATATCTGTGCTAGTTTATATCTGTTTATATCTGTGCTAGTTTATATCTGTGCTAGTTTATATCTGTGCTAGTTTATATCTGTGCTAGTTTATATCTGTGCTAGTTTATATCTGTGCTAGTTTATATCTGTGCTAGTTTATATCTGTTTGTATCTGTTCTAATTTATATCTGTTTATATCTGTGCTAGTTTATATCTGTGCTAGTTTGTATCTGTTTGAATCTGTGCTAGTTTATATCTGTTTATATCTGTGCTAGTTTATATCTGTGCTAGTTTATATCTGTTTTTATCTGTGCTAGTTTATATCTGTTTGTATCTGGGCTAGTTTATATCTGTGCTAGTTTATATCTTTGCTAGTTTATATCTGTTTGTATCTGTGCTAGTTTATATCTGTGCTAGTTTATATCTGTGCTAGTTTGTATCTGTGCTAGTTTATATCTTTTTGTATGTGTGCTAGTTTATATCTGTGCTAGTTTATATCTGTGCTAGTTTATATCTATGCTAGTTTGTATCTGTGCTAGTTTATATCTTTTTGTATGTGTGCTAGTTTATATCTGTGCTAGTTTATATCTGTGCTAGTTTATATCTGTGCTAGTTTGTATCTGTGCTAGTTTATATCTTTTTGTATGTGTGCTAGTTTATATCTGTTTGTATCTGTGCTAGTTTATATCTGTGCTAGTTTATATATGTTTATATCTGTGCTAGTTTATATTTGTGCTAGTTTATATCTGTGCTAGTTTATATCTGTTTGTATCTGTGCTAGGTTATATCTGTTTGTATCTGTGCTAGTTTATATCTGTGCTAGTTTATATCTGTGCTAGTTTATATCCGTGCTAGTTTATATCTGTTTGTATCTGTGCTAGTTTATATCTGTGCTAGTTTATATCTGTTTGTATCTGTGCTAGTTTATATCTGTGCTAGTTTATATCTGTTTATATCTGTGCTAGTTTATATCTGTGCTAGTTTATATCTGTGCTAGTTTGTATCTGTTTGAATCTGTGCTAGTTTATGTCTGTTTGTATCTGTGCTAGTTTATATCTGTGCTAGTTTTTATCTGTTTGTATCTGTGCTAGTTTATATCTGTGCTAGTTTGTATCTGTTTGTATCTGTGCTAGTTTATATCTGTGCTCGTTTATATCTGTGCTAGTTTATATGTGCTAGTTTATATCTGTGCTAGTTTATATCTGTGCTAGTTTATATCTGTTTATATCTGTGCTGGTTTATATCTGTGCTAGTTTATATCTGTGCTAGTTTATATCTGTTTATATCTGTGCTAGTTGATATCTGTTTATATCTGTGCTAGTTTATATCTGTGCTAGTTTATATTTGTGCTAGTTTATATCTGTGCTAGTTTATATCTGTGCTAGTTTATATCTGTGCTAGTTTATATCTGTGCTAGTTTATATGTGTATCTGTGCTAGTTTATATCTGTGCTAGTTTATATCTGTTTGTATCTGTGCTAGTTTATATCTGTGCTATATCTGTGCTAGTTTATATTTTTTTTATATCTGTTTGAATCATATAGTCACGCTGATCGCTGTGTACAACACCCAATCACGGACTCAAGGTAGCAAGATGGCCACTGGGAAACTCTGGGTGGCAAACCGCACCGCCTTATTGCCGGGGTGCCGCCCTCCGAAATAAAATAATAATTTAATGTCAGAAAACTTCCCAAAAGTTTCTACCAGGTACCTTTACAGAACAATATTTTCATAAAATATCTTGGCGATTGGGCGGGGGGCACTGAATCCCACTATCTGTACAGTGAGAAAGGAATACAGGGCCTATTGGAACTTTTTATTTATTTCTAGAGTAGAAAAGAAACTGGATATATATATATATATATATATATATATATATATATATATATATATATATATATATATATATATATATATATAAGGCCCTATATATATATATATATATATATATATATATATATATATATAAATCCAGTTTCTTTTCTACTCTAGAAAAAAACTATTACATTGGAGTTTTAATATTTGCTTTATATAAATAATTGTAAAAGTAAAATAAAAGTCATTATATATATATATATATATATATATATATATATATATATATATATATATATATATATATATATATATATATATATATATATATATATATATATATTTATATTTATATTTATATATATGGACTTAAGAAAAAGCTTTTGAAATAAAAACAAAAGGATTTGAACTCTTTATTTCCTGGACATTAAAAAAAACTTTAATCAACCAAACTAAAATTCAAAACATCATTAAAGCAAATAGAAATATATAAGATAAGAAGGGCACTGTTAGTAGCCAACAAAACGTCATTTGAGTAGATGTTCTGTGAAATTTGATTGAGTAGATGTTCTGTGAAATTTGATTGAGTAGATGTTCTGTGAAATTTGATTGAGTAGATGTTCTGTGAAATTTGATTGAGATTGAGCACTATGATTCTTAAAGATTAAAATAAATGGTCCATGAAATAAATGGTCCATGAAATAAATGGTCCATGAAATAAATGGTCCATGAAATAAATGGTCCATGAAATAAATGGTCCATGAAATAAATGGTCCATGAAATAAATGGTCCATGAAATAAATAATGCATTGAAAGGCAACCATGAAAAAAAAAAGAAAACATTCAAACCAATATTTTAGCACCATAGAATACAAGACATTATAGTAATACTGTCTAGACCAAATACAGATGGAAAAAATGCAAAAACATTTGAAATAGGCTTGAAAAATACATTATACAAAATTAAGAAGTTCAAGTAATTATAATTTCTTTTATATTACATACATGATATATGCATATTCATCTGATATCTACATACGTTTGAATTAATGAACTACGTAAAATCTTCTTTTCAAGCATATTGAAAACCAAACAGAATCCACATAGTGAATCACACCAGACTCAAAGTGACCTCATTAAAACATAAGACTAAACAGGGGCTCTAACTCCACATGACCAAACAGGGGCTCTAACTCCACATGACCAGACAGGGGCTCTAACTCCACATGACCAGACAGGGGCTCTAACTCCACACGACCAGACAGGGGCTCTAACTCCACACAACACCAGTTGGTGATATGGTCTGAGATGGGGTCACCATTTGTCTGAGATGTGGTCACCATTTGTCTGAGGTGTGGTCACCATTTGTCTTATGATATGCTGAAGTATTTAGAAAAAAATTGTTGATAATCAAGAAAAATGCAGTAAAACAATCTAATCCTGGAGAAGCAATATATCTATAAATCCATTTCTTTATTTGTATATAAAATCAGACAAATCATAAAGTTAACAAAATATAGCACTGCATGATTGAAACAACGTTTTTTTAAAATAGACAACAAACTCTTCATTTTGCAACTTTGTTACACAGAAACGTATAGAAAGATTTAATACAAATTGTGAAGTTTTATTGCAGTCTAATGCTATGTACAAGATTCTAAGTAGAAAACACAATACTATATATCCAGTTTTTTATATAAACTAATGTAGATGAAAATAGCTGTTGGTCAGCAAAATGTTTTTCTTTCACAGAAGAAAACAAACTTAATGAAACAGTTGGTAATGAAGATGTGATCTTTTCAGCAGAACTCAAACTCATTTACATAATTAATGAGTAAAAAATGTTTTACATAAATTTTCTTTCCAAAGTCCCTAATGTACACAGGGCAATGACTAGGATTTTATGTTTGAGCAATCCAGATATTAAAAATATATACATACACACACAGACACACACATACATATAAAAAATACATAAATAAATAAATAAATATATATGAGAGCTTTTTTTATTTTTAAATATGAGAAACTAGATATTGTAGAGAAAAAAATGCCATGTAGGTTTGTTGGTTTCAAGAGATGAGATCTACTAGATCTCAACTGGTTTCAAGTGGGTTTAGCTATAGTAGGGGGGGGGGTAGCTATAGTAGGGGGGGTAGCTATAGTAGGGGGGGGTAGCTATAGTAGGGGGGGGGTTAGCTATAGTAGGGGGGGGTAGCTATAGTAGGGGGGGTAGCTATAGTAGCGGGGGGGGGGGGGGTAGCTATAGTAGGGGGGGGTAGCTATAGTAGGGGGGGTTAAATATAGTAGGGGGGGTAGCTATAGTAGGGGGGGGTTAGCTATAGTAGCGGGGGGGGTAGCTATAGTAGGGGGGGGGGGTAGCTATAGTAGGGGGGGTTAGCTATAGTAGGGGGGGTTAGCTATAGTAGGGGGGGTTAGCTATAGTAGGGGGGGTTAGCTATAGTAGGGGGGGGTAGCTATAGTAGGGGGGGGTTAGCTAGAATAGGGGGGGTTAGCTATAGTAGGGGGGGGGGTTAGCTATAGTAGGGGGGGTTAGCTATAGTAGGGGGGGGTTAGCTATAGTAGGGGGGGTTAGCTATAGTAGGGGGGTTAGCTATAGTAGGGGGGGGTAGCTATAGTAGGGGGGGTTAGCTATAGTAGGGGGGGTTAGCTATAGTAGGGGGGGTTAGCTATAGTAGGTATAATCCTGGCTACAGCTATAGTGGGGGGGGTTAGCTATAGTAGGGGGGGGTAGCTATAGTAGGGGGGGTTAGCTATAGTAGGGGGGGTTAGCTATAGTAGGGGGGTTAGCTATAGTAGGGGGGGTTAGCTAGAATAGGGGGGGTTAGCTATAGTAGGGGGGGGTAGCTATAGTAGGGGGGGTTAGCTATAGTAGGTATAGTCCTGGCTACAGCTATAGTGGGGGGTGGGGGTGAGCTATACTAGGTATAGTCCTGGCTACAGCTATAGTAGGGGGGGGGGTTAGCTATAGTAGGGGGGGTTAGCTATAGTAGGGGGGTTAGCTATAGTAGGGGGGGTAGCTATAGTAGGGGGGGTTAGCTATAGTAGGGGGGGTTAGCTATAGTAGGGGGGGTTAGCTATAGTAGGTATAATCCTGGCTACAGCTATAGTGGGGGGTTAGCTATAGTAGGGGGGGGGGGTAGCTATAGTAGGGGGGGGTTAGCTATAGTAGGGGGGGTTAGCTATAGTAGGGGGGGGTAGCTATAGTAGGGGGGGTTAGCTAGAATAGGGGGGGTTAGCTATAGTAGGGGGGGTAGCTATAGTAGGGGGGGTTAGCTATAGTAGGTATAGTCCTGGCTACAGCTATAGTGGGGGGTGGGGGGTGAGCTATACTAGGTATAGTCCTGGCTACAGCTATAGTGGGTTAAGCTGGTAGTTTGTAAGTTTCAAACTTTCTAAAACGTTTGCCCTAGAGTTACTGCCAGTGTTGCTGTGGTGGACGCCCTCCTCCTCTGGTCATTTGAAATACTTCAACACTTTCCTCGCTGGAACATCAACAAAAAGTTGGAACATCAACACAAAGTTGGAACATCAACACAAAGTTGGAACATCAACACAAAGTTGGAACATCAACAAAAAGTTGGAACATCAACAAAAAGTTGGAACATCAACAAAAAGTTGGAACATCAACAAAAAGTTGGAACATCAATAAAAAGTTGGAACATCAACAAAAAGTTGGAACATCAACAAAAAGTTGGAACATCAATAAAAAGTTGGAACATCAACAAAAAGTTGGAACATCAACAAAAAGTTGGAACATCAACAAAAAGTTGGAACATCAACACAAAGTTGGAACATCAACAAAAAGTTGGAACATCAACAAAAAGTTGGAACATCAACAAAAAGTTGGAACATCAACAAAAAGTTGGAACATCAACAAAAAGTTGGAACATCAATAAAAAGTTGGAACATCAACAAAAAGTTGGAACATCAACAAAAAGTTGGAACATCAATAAAAAGTTGGAACATCAACAAAAAGTTGGAACATCAACAAAAAGTTGGAACATCAACAAAAAGTTGGAACATCAACAAAAAGTTGGAACATCAACAAAAAGTTGGAACATCAACAAAAAGTTGGAACAGAGAAAATCATTTCATGCAACCTGCTCTCCTCACCTAGTAAATACAATGGGCTTATAACAGAATGAGATGGGGGCTTATAACAGAATGAGATGGGGCTTATAACAGAATGAGATGGGGCTTATAACAGAATGAGATGGGGGCTTATAACAGAATGAGATGGGGGCTTATAACAGAATGAGATGGGGCTTATAACAGAATGAGATGGGGCTTATAACAGAATGAGATGGGGCTTATAACAGAATGAGATGGGGCTTCTGTTTTTTTTTTGTCAAAAAAATTTAAAAAAAATATCTTGTTAATTATGCTGGGTTATGGTTATTTGTAATGTTTAGCTTTTAATGGGATTTTAAATATCAGCTTTTTAAGACATTTAACTTCTCTCTCTCCCCCCCCCCTACCCCCCCCCCCCCCCCCCCCACCCCCCCCCCCCCCCCCCACCAATCAACATATTATACATCATTGGGTTAGCCATTTCCTTCATAGCAAAATAAAACATTTCAATCACATAAGCAGTTGTCAGCGAAATCATTGTTTAGGTATGTAGGTATGGGAAGCAACTCACACAGGATACTTAAGGCAAGCAGCTTCAGCTTATGGTAAAAACTGTGATGTGAGGGTTGATTCAAAGTGTGATGTGTGGGTTGATTCAAAGTGTGATGTGTGGGTTGATTCAAACTGTGATGTGTGGGTTGATTCAAAGTGTGTTGTGTGTGTTGATTTACACTGTGAGGTATGAAAATAAACATAGACACCATTGTTAATACTCAGGTCAACAGTTCAGATGTACCCCCACAATTGTGTGTGGTTAGTTGGTGTGTGGTTAGTTGGTGTGTGGTTAGTTGGTGTGTGGTTAGTTGGTGTGTGGTTAGTTTGTGTGTGGTTAGTTGGTGTGTGGTTAGTTTGTGTGTGGTTAGTTGGTGTGTGGTTAGTTTGTGTGTGGTTAGTTGGTGTGTGGTTAGTTTGTGTGTGGTTAGTTTGTGTGTGGTTAGTTGATGTGTGGTTAGTTGGTGTGTGGTTAGTTGGTGTGTGGTTAGTTGGTGTGTGGTTAGTTGGTGTGTGGTTAGTTTGTGTGTGGTTAGTTTGTGTGTGGTTAGTTTGTGTGTGGTTAGTTTGTGTGTGGTTAGTTTGTGTGTGGAGAGCTATAAAATATGATGAAGGGGGTTAGAGCTCTTTCTTATATCAAATGATACGACTACAGGGTCAGGGCTAAAAATATCCTGAGAATATTTGCAAGATACAAAATGAAAGTTACAAAGTCAAATTCATAGATGGTGTTGTGTAATACATTCAGGGAAGAGAAAAAAAAAATACCTCGGCCTTGATGCACCACTTCGAGGTTTTTGGGGAAAATGTGATTTAGCTAGGATGTCATCAAACTGCTTACGTGGTAAACCTGCAAAGGTCTTCTAGTTAGTACAATTTTATATACACTACCTGACATGACATACACTACCTGACATAACATACACTACCTAACATAACATACACTACCTAACATAACATGACATACACTACCTGACATGACATACACTACCTGACATGACATGCCATACACTAGCTCACATAACACGACATACACTACCTGACATGACATACACTACCTCACATGACATACACTACCTGACATGACATACACTACCTGACATGACATACACTACCTGACATGACATACACTACCTGACATGACATACACTACCTGACATAACATACACTACCTGACATGACATACACTACCTGACATAACATGACATACACTACCTGACATGACATACACTACCTGACATGACATGACATACACTAGCTCACATAACATGACATACACTACCTCACATAACATGACATACACTACCTGACATGACATGACATACACTACCTGGCATGACATACACTACCTGACATGACATGACATACACTACCTCACATGACATGACATACACTACCTGACATGACATACACTACCTCACATAACATGACATACACTACCTCACATGACATGACATACGCTACCTGACATGACATACACTACCTCACATAACATGACATATACTACCTCACATGACATGACATACACTACCTCACATAACATGACATACACTACCTGACATAACACGACATACACTACCTCACATAACATGACATACACTACCTCACATAACATGACATACACTACCTCACATAACATGACATACACTACCTCACATAACATGACATACACTACCTGACATGACATGACATACACTACCTCACATAACATGACATACACTACCTGACATGACATACACTACCACACATAACATGACATACAGTACCTCACATAACATGACATACACTACCTGACATGACATACACTACCTCACATAACATGACATACACTACCTCACATAACATGACATACACTACCTCACATAACATGACATACACTACCTGACATGACATACACTACCGCACATAACATGACATACACTACCTCACATAACATGACATACACTACCTCACATAACATGACATACACTACCTCACATAACATGACATACACTACCTCACATAACATGACATACACTACCTCACATAACATGACATACACTACCTGACATGACATACACTACCTCACATAACATGACATACACTACCTCACATAACATGACATACACTACCTCACATAACATGACATACACTACCTGACATGACATACACTACCTCACATAACATGACATACACTACCTGACATGACATACACTACCTCACATAACATGACATACACTACCTCACATAACATGACATACACTACCTCACATAACATGACATACACTACCTGGCATGACATAACTGGAAATACTTCTCTGCCTTAGTGGGGCACTACGTAAGGGAGGCAGATCTCCTGGGAATAAAACAAGTTAGTGATATAGGGTACAAGATGTAATATATCATAGCACAGTTAGCGATATAGGCTACAGGATGTAATATATCATAGCACAGTTAGTGATATAGGCTACATGATGTAATATATCATAGCACAGTTAGTGATATAGGCTACAAGATGTAATATATCATAGTTGCAAATATTCAGTTCATTGATCAATGATAATACAGTTGACCTACCTGTATAAGTGTTTGTTGACTCACCTGTGTACATGTTTGTTGACTCACCTGTGTACATGTTTGTTGACTCACCTGTGTACATGTTTGTTGACTCACCTGTGTACATGTTTGTTGACTCACCTGTGTACATATTTGTTGACTCACCTGTGTACATATTTGTTGACTCACCTGTGTACATGTTTGTTGACTCACCTGTGTACATGTTTGTTGACTCACCTGTGTACATGTTTGTTGACTCACCTGTGTACATGTTTGTTGACTCACCTGTGTACATATTTGTTGACTCACCTGTGTACATATTTGTTGACTCACCTGTGTACATGTTTGTTGACTCACCTGTGTACATGTTTGTTGACTCACCTGTGTACATATTTGTTGACTCACCTTTGTACATATTTGTTGACTCACCTGTATGCACATGTACTGATGTTGGGTAGGTTTCCTCTCTCATTAAATTCTCCTGAAACTTTTTGCGATTCTCCTCCCTGTTGGCGTGCCAGTTGACCAGGAACTTGCGGGCTGTCGCCGTTATATGTTTCCCATCTAGCCACTCTGGGAACAGATATGGGAAATGTGTGTGTGGATCTGTGTGGGCTGGCTTGTGTGTGTGTTAATCTGTGCATCAGTGTGGCTGATTTGAGTATGTGTTCTGTGTGTGGGATAGGTGGCAGAACTGTGTGGATGTTGGTGTGTGTTTATGTGGATGTTCGTGTGTGTTTGTGTGGATGGTGATGTGTGTGTTCGTGTGGATGTTTGTGTAGATGTTTGTATGGATGTTTGTGTGGATGTTTGTGTGTGTGTTTGTGTGGATGTTTGTGTGGATGTTCGTGTGTGTAATCGTGTGGATGTTCGTGTGGATGTTTGTGTGTGTGTTTGTGTGGATGTTTGTGTGGATGTTCGTGTGTGTGTAGCTCAAATGCATGGAAGAATGTTGTCATTAGCTGATGCTCAACAGACATGGACTAGTCTAAGATGAAAAGCTTACCCAAGCTACTCCCCAAGACAATAATTCTGTCCTTGTACTTTGTTTGCTGACATATGGGGTTGCCTGTGAGATCCAGGCGAGTCAGGGAGGTCCATGTAGCCAAGAGCTGTGCCAGTTCCTTCATGTCGTTCAGTAGATTGTCAGCTGCTATCAGGCTGTTCAGGTGGCAAAGTTGGCTCAGGTCGTTGATGCCGGTCAGATGGTTCCCAGACACATTTAAAACTTGCAAACAACCCTATATATATATATATATATATATATATATATATATATATATATATATATATATATATATATATATATATATATATATATATATATATATATATATACATATATACACAGAGATACACAGACACACACACATATATATAGGCTGTGATCTGTGTGCGGGTTGATTCACACTGTGATCTGTGTGTGTGTTGATTCACGTGTGAATACATATAAATAAACTACACTTCTAGTTACCAGTCAATTTAAATAAAGCTTAAAGGATCACATAAACTTTCTCACATTTTACATTTTTAAAATAATATAGAATCACATAGAAAAAAATATAATGTGATACAAAGGAACATAAACAATGTGTGTATAAGAGAGGGGAAGAGCTTTATAAAGCAAACCGATTAATTTTTTAAAAGTTATTTTAACATCTAATTAAACCAAATTTGATGTCAGGATGTCTGGGCATGGATTAAAGACCTAACCTTTACCCTAATCCTAGGGCATGGATTAAAGACCTAACCCTAACCCTAACCCTAACCCTAGGGCATGGATTAAAGACCTAACCCTAACCCTAACCCTAGGGCATGGATTAAAGACCTAACCCTAACCCTACATGAAAAGTTAATTGGTCAGTAGAAGTAATCTTTTTTTCAGAACTCAAGAAATACATCCGGTCACCGTATGTCACTGAGTCAAGAGAATGAAAACATTGTTTCAAATTTAGTTCACCTAACTAAAATGGTATGCAAATTATTAGTTCACCTAACTAAAATGGTATGCAAATTATTAGTTCACCTAACTAAAATGGTATGCAAATTATTGGAATTTTAGATACCATAAATAGAGTACAATATCACTTCCATTTTCGGAGGTCACTCACAAATTGTAAGTAATCCAAGTATAAGATTTTATATTTCTATATGAAATTTCATGTACCTAACTGAGATAGTTCTCAAAATATAGTGTTCACATGAAAATAGAGTAAAAACCACTTCTGGTTACTGGAAATCATTCAAAATCTAAAAGAAACATGCACCTACAATGTAATACTTTTCCAACTGAGGGGGTATAAAATGTTGAGATTTGTGAAAACTTTTATTTCAATTATTTGCAGGATTGCAATACTTCCTCTAAACTTCTTATGCAAGAAATAAAAAAATAACTCGACTTCAATCAGACAGTGACAACTTACAGAGAGTGCGTTAAGTGTGCGTGGATCAAATAACAGCTGTTCTCCTGCAGGCAGGCGCTGGTGTTCCACATGAAGTTCCTGTAATTTTTTAAGTTTGTCCAAACCTTCCAGCACTGTGATTGTATTGCCACCCAGATACCTGTAGACAAAAACACTTTTAGTTCCCATTTTAAAACCCTCTACATCTGTTCAAACAATTCTTTTATTTCTCTAATGAAATGCAACTGAGATTCTCTGAAGAGACTTACAATTTTTGCAGCTGAGGTAATGTGTTTAGGTTCTCAATCAAGCTGATGTTGTTGTTTTGTAGATACAGATGAGTGATTGCACTATTGCTATTTAAGCAGGGGACACGATTCAGTTGGTTGTCATACAGATACAAAACTGTTAGATTTTTGCACATTGATAAGCAGTCACCCTAATATATAAAGATTGTATCACATTAAATGATTAAATTTTGTTGAAATAAACTATTTTTACAAGCTTTTATTTAACTCACTTCCTCTGTCGTCAGTCTGTCGTCAGTCTAGACGGAAACGCAGGAGTGAAAATTCGGACAGTTCTACTTGACCGACACGATTCACAGTTGGCACGTGGGTCAAGACATGAAGACAATGCAATCTGAAACTAAATTTGACTTAATTGGATGCCTAATTGATTTTTTATGAATTAATTAAAATTTGGACCGAATTAGTAGGCATGTCTAGCCAACCACACCACACGCGTCATCAATAGCTGCGCCATCACGACCACGTAATGGCTGCGTTCAAAAACCATTGCGCGCCTACTGAACGTGATGTTCAGTAGGCGAGCAATGGTTTTTAGTCATGTAACTCTATTGTAAATAAAACATGTAAAGTACTGAAAAAAAAATTCATAAAAAACGTTTTAATAACAAGCTTTTATGTAATGATGCACTAAAAAGTAGAAAATAAATTATAGACTACTATTTAAATAACTATAAAGAAAAGCGTGGGTGTCTTCTTTAACATTAGTAAAGGTATCCAATAGATACTAAAGTGACCCACGCTTTTCTTTATAGTTATTTAAATAGTAGTCTATAATTTATTTTCTACTTTTTAGTGCATCATTACATAAAAGCTTGTTATTAAAACGTTTTTTATGAATTTTTTTTCAATTTTAAAAGAATAAAAAAACATTGTTTAACATTAAATTGAAGTAAAAATATTCATCTATATAAAGAGAGACAATAATTTATTACTTTAAATGACAATATGCTTTTTTCCAAATTTATAAAAACTTACAACATCATCAATATTTTTGTTTTCCAAGTACAAATGAGTCAGTCTTCTGATATACTGTGGAAGCGTTTCATCCCTTTTCTTTTGAGTATATCCTGATGTGCCCCGAGCTATGAAGTCTAGTGTTAACTTGACCATGGCAGACAGCACAACAATCTGTTATGGACATAGTTTTTATTTAGCACATGTTGGCCTATCAAATTTAGACAGGTTACAAAAAATCTTATGTTTATTTTTCTTCTATCATTTGATTCATTTGACCAAAGAAAAATATTTTTAAGTGTATGAAAGGTTTAAAATGGTTTATTGCTAAATCCGCAGCAATTTTATGAAAGACCTATTAAGGGATCATCTATAAATGACATCACGCTTTATTTTACTTCTTTACCCCCCCCCCCCCCCCGTCACAAAAAGCTAGACCCCCCCCATAAATGACGTCACACCCCAGCCTACATATCCCTCGACTTTGCAGTTGAGTTGTTTTTTTTACAAGATCGATATTTTTCCAAGATATTGTCACCATAGAATATTTTCATCTAGTTCTATTAAAATTCATTCAATCAGTTTTCTAAAACACAAAATAATAGCTAAAATTCGTTTTTTGACATTGCTTTTTTATTATGCAAATGTGCGATGTCATACCATCGGATATCCCCTCCCTCTCATCAAACACCATCATAAAATTACTCCCCCCTATGAGTGTGACGTCATTTATGGAAGACCCCTAATCTGAACTTACAAAAAATGAACTGTTAATCTACATTTGCCTCTAAAGGGTCTATTAATCAGATTATCAAAAATAAGAATTAATGCACATTCCATAACTCAGAGCTGATTACTTTGCTGTTTTGAATCATGAAATGAAGCATCACTGTCTTACACAGAAAAAATATTTCATTTTTTTTTTACTTCTTATACGAGAAATTAAAAAATAACTCCAGCTACAAACAATGACATTATATGAAAGCTCATAATTAAATAGGGTCTATTTTAATACCAACTCAAAAACTTGTGTACACCTAAGATAGTTACTAAACATAACATTAAAAAAACATTGATCTAGCAGTTTAATAACAAGGTTTTAAGGTACAAAGCAATTTAGCCCATCCAAAAAATGAAAACTACAGATCCCAATTTTATTTCACAATTGTTTAAACTTCATGGCATTTTTCTTATCATGGCTGACTGAACAATGACTAATTGATGTAGCTAAGTGTCATTTGACTAATTGATGTAGCTAAGTGTCATTTGACTAATTGATGTAGCTAAGTGTCATTTGACTAATTGATGTAGCTAAGTGTCATTTGACTAACTGATGTAGCTAAGTGTCATTTGACTAATTGATGTAGCTAAGTGTCATTTGACTAATTGATGTAGCTAAGTGTCATTTGACTAATTGATGTAGCTAAGTGTCATTTGACTAATTGATGTAGCTAAGTGTCATTTGACTAATTGATGTAGCTAAGTGTCATTTGACTAATTGATGTAGCTAAGTGTCATTTGACTAATTGATGTAGCTAAGTGTCATTTGACTAACTGATGTAGCTAAGTGTCATTTGACTAATTGATGTAGCTAAGTGTCATTTGACTAATTGATGTAGCTAAGTGTCATTTGACTAATTGATGTAGCTAAGTGTCATTTGACTAATTGATGTAGCTAAGTGTCATTTGACTAATTGATGTAGCTAAGTGTCATTTGACTAATTGATGTAGCTAAGTGTCATTTGACTAATTGATGTAGCTAAGTGTCATTTGACTAATTGATGTCGCTAAGTGTCATTTAACTAATTGATATAGCTAAGTGTCATTTGACTAATTGATGTAGCTAAGTGTCATTTGACTAATTGATGTAGCTAAGTGTCATTTAACTAATTGATATAGCTAAGTGTCATTTGACTAATTGATGTAGCTAAGTGTCATTTGACTAATTGATGTAGCTAAGTGTCATTTGACTAATTGATGTAGCTAAGTGTCATTTGACTAATTGATGTAGCTAAGTGTCATTTGACTACTTGATGTAGCTAGGTGTCATTTGACTAATTGATGTAGCTAAGTGTCATTTGACTAATTGATGTAGCTAAGTGTCATTTGACTAATTGATGTAGCTAAGTGTCATTTGACTAATTGATGTAGCTAAGTGTCATTTGACTAATTGATGTAGCTAAGTGTCATTTGACTAATTGATGTAGCTAAGTGTCATTTGACTAATTGATGTAGCTAAGTGTCATTTAACTAATTGATGTAGCTAAGTGTCATTTAACTAATTGATGTAGCTAAGTGTCATTTGACTAATTGATGTCGCTAAGTGTCATTTAACTAATTGATATAGCTAAGTGTCATTTGACTAATTGATGTAGCTAAGTGTCATTTGACTAATTGATGTAGCTAAGTGTCATTTAACTAATTGATATAGCTAAGTGTCATTTGACTAATTGATGTAGCTAAGTGTCATTTGACTAATTGATGTAGCTAAGTGTCATTTGACTAATTGATGTAGCTAAGTGTCATTTGACTACTTGATGTAGCTAAGTGTCATTTGACTACTTGATGTAGCTAGGTGTCATTTGACTAATTGATGTAGCTAAGTGTCATTTGACTAATTGATGTAGCTAAGTGTCATTTGACTAATTGATGTAGCTAAGTGTCATTTGACTAATTGATGTAGCTAAGTGTCATTTGACTAATTGATGTAGCTAAGTGTCATTTGACTAATTGATGTAGCTAAGTGTCATTTGACTAATTGATGTAGCTAAGTGTCATTTAACTAATTGATGTAGCTAAGTGTCATTTGACTAATTGATGTAGCTAAGTGTCACATGGCGGTGACCAGCCCTCTCCAGATCACAGGATTTGATTTGGTGCCCTGGGCTATCCTGTGGTTGCTATGGGGCATAATTTTATTTTAAACAGTGCGATTGACTATAAATAAGATAGGTTACTATAGTCTTTAACTGAATCTGCGCCTCAACAGGGTGATATTTTGGCGCCCCGACATATATATATATATACATTTTTTCCTTTGGTGGGGGGGGGGGGGGTGACACCATGAGTTACTACAACAGGTGACACAATGAGTTACCACAACAGGTGACACAATGAGTTACCACAACAGGTGACACAATGAGTTACCACAACAGGTGACACAATGAGTTACCACAACAGGTGACACCCAACCTAGCCATGCCACTGGTGGTGGGGCTACACCAAAATACACTTGCTTATTAGATACAACTACATAGGCTAAACAGATAACCATGCTAGTCATGCATTCTCACTCTTTGTATCTTAACAGTCATTCTTCACAACTATAACATGTAAATATGTTATTATTAATCACCTTTTACAGTCAACATAATTGAGAGGACTTCATAAGGTATATTTTTTGAAGACATATATTCTTTTTAAAGGGCTCTAATAAAGGTTTATTTCCAAGCTGACTGCAAAGTGCAAATACATCTGCACTAGTGCACTGATCATTAATATATATTGACATTGTTACAATTGTAGTAAAGATCTTGCTTCCCCCCTTCCCCCATTTCAGGTGAATGTTGGAGGCATTAAAATAACATCTAGTTGAAGTTGAAATTATTCACAAAAGATATAAAGTTAAAGAGCACACTACACTAACATGCTAGATTGTCTATTTTTTTTTATTGGTAATGTAAAGTATTTCAAGGTATACATCATGTGCTATTTAGTTTAAAATCATCGCTAAAACCCAACCCAACCATGAACATTGCGGGGTTTTCTACTTTAAACTATAACCATATATTGTTGAAACTGGCGACAAAATGTATGATCACAGGACCTTTTACATGTCATAGATAAAAATATTCAGCTATTCTAAAAAGTTTATAAAAATATGTTTTAATTTATTTATGAAGTACTGTCTGTCAGAAAAGAAAAATTATTTGAACTATAAGCAATCAGAAAAAAATTAGACTCAGCTTCAAAGTGAAGGACGGTTTAGTTCATGGGAAGCTGAAAAATTACATGGAAGCCTAATCATTGTACAGAGTTATAGCTTTAATAATAAAGAAATATATTAAAGAAATAAACTACAAAAAGTAGACTGACAAACTTGTTTACTAAGTAGCTACATATTTTTATTTTTTTTACTGAAAAATAAAGCCTCTAAAATTTGCTAACATCAATTTAGAAAAACTTGGTGCGTTGAATGTTAACGAAGAAAACTGCCAGTTCTGCTACAGGATTTTAAGCGACTTTATTGATTGCTCTAGTGAGTTTTGTCAAGTTCTGCCTTTTTTGACCATGCTCAGAAATGATAAACAATTTTAGTGTTTTAACAGAAAAAAGGACCACCTTCCTGAAAATGCAAATAAAAAATTTATATGTTGTCAGAATCATATACTAATTTTTTAATTGCTTACTTTTTTTTAACATTTAAAATATTTAGTCTTTTATGCAAATGTTTTAGTATCCTACTCAAGGCTATTTGATTCTGCACATTTTACAGGTATTTGTAAAGAAAGACGTTGAACAGTGAAAAAAGACCCGCGAATAGAATGGGAGAGTGGTCAAAATCTTTTGCTCGACTGCCTTTGAAAGATCATCTCAGTGACAGTTTTCAATCAATAGATGAGATATATTGTGTAATTTCAACAACCACAAAAATTACGCACAATTTGAGAGCTTAAAATTTACTTTTACACTTTTTAATGGTATTAAGCTTATTACTATAAGAGCCCTTTTTATTATAGAAACTACGGAAGTGAAAATGTACTACGTTTGGGCTATGCAAGCGAAAAACTGCATGTATTTAAAGCCGTTTGACATACCTATTTTTTTATACAGCATAATATTTTGTTGTAGGACTAGGTAGTATAAAGTAGATATTATTATGATATGTTAAGTAATAATAAATGAGTACAATTTTTAAGCTTTAACGGCAATCATCTACTACAAAATATACTATATCTATACAGCCTACTGTGCCTCTTCCATTTAAATACTTTTATTTAATAATTCTAATTGCATTTTAATTATCATAACTTACATGCAAAAAGTAGTAGACCTGGAGTTTTTTTAATGACTTAATTTTTTTTATACTTCAGACCTAGTTGTCAAAGTAGGCCTACTATCTCCTAGCTAGGATCTAGGAAAACCTAGTGGCTATTTCAAGCTAATTCACTAGGCCTACTAATAATTAAAATAAATATAATATATATATTAAATTATATTTGAACATACTGATTGATACTGACTAGGCCTAGTAGTAGTAGTGTAGTAGTTATAGTTATTCAATAACAATTTAGTTATTATAACATATAGGCCTAGATCTATTCAATTATTACTTTATTAGGCTAATACATTTTAATGATTAAATAACATATTTGGTCTAATAACCATCATTTATAAAGCCTACAATGCCTATATTAACTAAACAGATAGGCCACACTGTGCACTTCTTATTGATAATTGAGGATTCCTGTTGTGATAGTGTTGCTATAGCGATATCCGGGGCAGACTAATAATCCGTAATTGGGTAAATAACATGAAAAAGATTCATTAATTTTTTTTTTCATAAAAAACGTTTTAATAACAAGCTTTTATGTAATAATGCACTAAAAAGTAAAAAAAAATAAATAAATTATACACTACTATTGAAATAACTATAAAGAAAAGTGTAGGTTACTTTAGTATCTATTGGATACCTTTTCTAATATTTAGGAAGAGACCCACGCTTTTCTTTATAGTAATTGAAATAGTAGTGTATATTTTATTTTCTACTTTTTAGTGCTCTATTACATAAAAGCTTGTTATTAAAACGTTTTTTATGAATTTTTTTCAGTACTTTACATGTTTACTCCAAACACAAAACTATACTAACTCTAACACCAACATATATCCTATCACCCTCTAAACCTGCACACTAACCCTAGGAACGCCCATAAATGACATCAAACTGGTAGGTGGGAGTGGGGTCTGTAATTTTGTGACGGTGTGTGATGAGGGGGAAAGGGGGGGGGGGGGGTCAGATGACGTCACGTCATTTTTTTACATTATAAAAATTAAATGTTAGAAAACGATTTTTAGCAATTATTTCGCATTTTAGAAAACAGTTCTAATAAATTGTAATAGGAATTGATCAAAATACTCTATGTTGACAGAGTTCTGATAAGATTTTTAAAAAATTCAACAGCAATTTTGAGGGGGGGGGGGGGTTGTGCGATGAGGTGTGATGTCATTTTAGGGGTGGGAGGAAGAGTCTAGCTTTTTGTGACGGCGTATTAAGGAGGAGAGGGGGAGGTAAAATCGTCAAAAAAACGTGACGTCATTTATGGATGACCCCCTACCCTCACCCTATCCCTAACTGAGTGGGGGTAAAATTATATGGGACGTGGGTAATGGACAGGGGGTAATCGCTTTGGAGGGGGTAATGTCCTAGACCAGCTTCCAAAGTCTAAGTCACCATCAGGTATGCTTCTCTATATAGTACAGCTAAAATGATAAGATTGTGTACAAAATGTTGTTGTTTCCTTGAGAAAACTATTAACACCTCCAGTGTAGATGGCAACTCGGGATATAGACATGATTTTAAATCCATTTTTAAAGTTTTTATAAAGTTTTTATAACGTTTTTTTAAAGTAGTAATCAGTGGCGTAGCGAGGTCGGGTGTCACCCGGTGCGGCACTTAATGGTGTCACCCCACCCCCCCCCCCAGAGGCAAAGCGACACTTCCCGGGGACAAACTTTCAATTTTCGATTTGCACCCACCCCTTAAACTTTCGATTTGCACCTCCTAAAACACTATTTAACACTCGAATTAATCACTAATTAGTTAAGTGGAATTATCATTTTTCTCGATATATTTTGCTATTTTTTGCCTTGTGTCATCCCCCTAAATGGTGTCACCCGGTGCGGTCCGAACCCCCCGCACCCCCCTCGCTACGCCTCTGTTACTAATAATATTCCGCACTATTATACACAGATTGTTTGGCGTTCACTTGGTGCGCAATTCTTTTTTTGTACGAGATGCTGCTCTATTTTTTTTTTAAGTAATTAAAAATGGATTAAAAATGGATTAAAAATGGATTAAAAATGGATTAAAAATGGATTTAAAATGGATTAAAAATCATGTCTATATTCCGAGTTGCCATCCCCCGTAGTGTTATATAAGAATATTCGAGAAAGTTTAATATGCATTTTTAATAATGGCGATTACACATTTTTGCGACGCTCAATGGACTACTTCTTATACTTCTTATCCATATTCTATCACGCTCTTTAAAATGGACGTCTGCACAAAAGCGTCACCGGGATAGACCGGGGCGCGAAATTGCAAATTGTAGGATGCCGGCGAACGCACCTGATTCAATTTATCGAACGACTAAACGCCCCATCTTATTCATAGTCCGTCGCACTGTTTCAAACGAATATAGACGCTGTAACGCTCACGGTATAACCCGGGGCGCCAAATTACACCCTGCCGGGACGCCACCCTTGCGAAATTTATTTTTTTTCCTTCAGAAATCTCCCCAGGAGTATTCTCAACAACCTCCCAAAGTTTCATGGCGATCAGATAAAAGTTAAAGCAATGCATAAAAGATATATAAAATCTGATGAAATATATTAGATGGGTTTCATCAATACTATACCTATCCTATATTCTTAGACGCTAGACCTTGTTTTCTAAAACTGAGTTATTTAAATGTTAACGATTCATGCGCTTGAATCATATTTATCGGGGCACGGGTTTACCTACACTACCGCCCTAAAAAGCCCTGGGCGCCAAATCGCACCCTGCCGAGACGCCGGCGAACGCGCTTGATTATGTTTAGTGAACGACTCTAAAACCCAATCTTATGCATATTCTTTCGCAATGTTAAAAACGGACGTAGGTGCCATATCGCTCACGGCATAGCCCAGGGGGGGGGGGCAAATTGCACGCTGCCGGGCGCTGGCAGCCTTGCCTGATTCAATTTATTGAACGACTATAATATCCCATTGTATCCATAGTCTATCTAATTGTTTAAAACGAACGTAGGCGCCATAATTAAAACGTGACCGCGAGTGTAATTCTCCTTACATGAGGTATGTTTAAAAAAAAGTTAGACGACATTCTATGCCGCGCTGTGAGTTCGTAGACAACCCCGGGGTAAAAAAAAAACGGTTTCCCCGTCTAAAAAACTACGAAAAGTCGTTATAACCATTGACTGTATTTCGCTATACAATCATTGTACTTTATGCGAAAAAGAGGCAAAGTTTAAAAATATGTTAGGGTACGTAGGCTCTGTATATCTAAATAACCTTTAGCATGGTCCTCGGTAATTTACTCGGCCATTTGGAACAGTAGCGTAGCGAGGGGGGGGGGACATATGTCCCCGGGCGCCGACCTTAGGGGGCGCCAAAATGGGTTGGAAAAATAAATTGAAAGGTTGAGAGGGGTGCATATCGAAAGTTTGAGGGGGGGTGCAAATGGAAATCTCGAGGGGGGGGGGGGGGTGCAAATGGAAATCTCGAGGGGGTGGGGTGCAAATCGAAAGTTTGAGGGGGGGGGGGTGCACATCGAAAAGTTTGTCCCCGGGCGCCGGGAAGGGTCGCTACGCCTCTGATTTGGAAACACTGTCCATCATACTCTACGCCCTACGCCTTAGCCGAGGCTTAAAAAAACCGCGAGTGAAATTCTCCTTATATGAGCTGTATAGATTCACGACCCCCTATGCCACTCCGTTAGGTCGTATACTGACCCTATGATGTAACACAAAAAGCGTTCTTATCGTCGGAATCTTTAAAGCTGTTAAAAATGAGAGGTTGTACTTAATCATTGTAATTTACGTGAAAAACAGGCGAATTTGTCACTGCACATATGGCTAAGCATTTGCCTGAACCACTGTAATTGACTCGGCCATATGAAAAACCATCGGTCAGCCCCTTTGCGTTTATCGAGTGATAAAATCTAAACGCGAGTGAAATTCGTATACAAGCTATATATCGAAGAAAATATTCCACACGTCGAAGCCTTTGTTTAATCGTGATGTCGTAGGTTGATGCACGAAGAAAAACGGTGTTTACCTCGGGAAAACCCCGGTTGGTCGTTAGATCTGACCATAAGCCATACTTTCTTATATAAACATTGTTACATTTTGTGGGGAAAACTAAACAAAGACCACATCATTCGGGCTAAGTGTTAGAGAGGTAACTTTCTAAAGTAATCATTTTCAAATGAATTTTATACTATTTTGAGGCGAAAAAAAGCTGACGAAATTTATTATTCATTAGAGTAATAATTTAATTACATATTAAGATGCGTATTACACTAAAATTGTAACAATTAACTGTAAAAATTAATGAAATAGATTTTTAAAAATTAATTATGGACAAAGTCTGCGCATTTCTGATTACCTTCCGGGTAATAAGTAGGCGCGCATTGTTCCACTGTTTCTCTTAAAATAGGAAAAAATACAGCTTAAAGGTAGGTATCATCCCAAAAATTTCATTATTTATAAACATATGAGGCTATTTTGTAATCTCACAGGAAGTTTATTTATTCACTAAAAAAGAATGCAGCACAGGACATACACACGACCCAATAATACACGGCATAATAACTTCGATGGCTGAGTGAAGAAAGTTTGGATGGGTCCGTTTGATGGAGAAAGTGTACATTTTGTAGCCTGGGACTTGCATCGGCATGCTGTGTCAGTATTCAAGTTCTCAAATTATCAATACTCAATGGTGCTCTGCAGAACAGTATCCATGGAAACGCGTAATCGATATAGTCAGATAAATACAGCCGTTACTAAAGTAAATGCCCACTGCCGCAGCTAATGCAATGTAAATTTTACATCGATAGATTGTAACTTATTTTGACCCAGTTAGTCACTACCGTTTCACATGAAAGCATGTGATGTGTGTAATGAAGGAAATCTTCGTGCACTAAGTCATCTAAGTCATGTATTTCAGCCCCCCCCCGCCCTTCAATTCAATGTATAGATGAATTATAGATGTTAAAACAGGGACGGTAATATCATTAACATTGATGGGATCACCTATGTCCTTAATGTAGACCCATTATGTTTTTGACATTGGGCCATTGTATCATAAACATGGTGTTAGCTGGGATGGTAGTAAATATTTTCTAGTCAATCAATGAGCAGACTGGTTTTGTCTTCCAAATAATCGATGAGCAGCACACCAAACAGCTTTCGATTGTTTAAATATTTAATACCGTGCTGAATGATAAGCATGAATTGATCGTTGGATTTGGAACTGTGTCGAAACGACGCCAACTGCATGGCTTAGGGTAGTGGAGACTCAATTCTATTATCGTAACATACATAGGATAGAGCAAGTGTTGTCATCGTGGAAAAATCATTCTTGGGTATCCTCCTGTAGCTTGTATGCTCGTAACACTTTGGGTATCCTCCTGTAGCTTGTATGCTCGTAACACTTCTGACAGGGACCACAATCAGCTCACTACGGGAAGTGCCTTGAGGTCCTAGAGGAT